AAATGATTGAGCAGGACAGGCTCAGTCATTTGCAGCATTAAAGTGCCCTTCAGAAATGCTTTTAAGTTTACCGAAATAACAATTACTACTTGCTAAGCAAAAGAGACATCGTGTGAAATCTTGTTTTGGTAAAGCATCCCCTTTGTCATACTATGATTACCTCCCTGTCTGTTTGTCAGCAGGATTACGGAAAAAGCTACAGGTCAAATTTGTATTAAAGTTGGTGTAAGGGTGTAGCGTGGGCCAATGAAATAATGATTACATTGTCTAACGGATCTGCATTACACGGCAATACACAAATTATGTTTTTGTAAACATTGCAAGATAGGTTAGGGTTAGGGTTAGGGCTGCTCCTTCTTTGGTCCTTCAGTCAACTAATTGGTGGTTTTGGTCTCAGTTGTTCAGATTTACTTTAAATGATTACTCTACGCTTTTGCAGTGTTATTGTGGAGAAACGAATTGACATATTTATATGAGTTAGTCGACTAAGAATTTCTGTCAATCAGAGCATCTTCAGCCAGATATGCCTGCCTTTAAGTCAATTCACAGGGTTCTTACGGTCATTAAAAACCTGGAAAAGTCATGGAAATTCAAAATGCAAATTCCAGGCCCTGGAAAAGTTATGGAAAAGTCATGGAAATGTAACTAAAGTTGCATCAAATATAATTTATATTTTAGCTAATCGCCGAAATAGTAATACTATAATGATAATAAATACTGTATCATATAGTAATGAAATGTAAAATGGCATTTAACTGACGAGGTATTTTGCTGGTGAGAGATTTTAGTTGCTTTAGCGTGTAGAAGCTAGTAAGCCTATTTGATTTGTTTTAGATAGGCACAACATGTTTCATATGCAGACCTTATTTTCCTGTTCCATTTAAGTGGTACCGCTGAGAAAGAGTTATGTTTTTGGTCATGGAAAATTAGGTAAAGGTCCTGGAGAAGTCATGGAAAAGTCATTGAAAATCATTGGTGAAAAAGTGTATGAACCCTGAATTCAAAATGTCTTTAAATGCATCCAGAGGGACCAGCTCCTGTAGATTTTAAGTTCATTTTGCAACTGATTCCAAGCAGAGGGAGCTGCAAAATTCCAACGTGTCTTTAGCGAAGACATTAACCTCCCTTATAAAGATGTAGATATCTAGGTAAGATAGACCCCTTGAAAAAAAAAAAATGTCTAAGTCTTCGTGCAAACATAAAACAGTGTTGAGTAAGAGCTTTAAAATGTGTGATAAATATATACTGGGAGACACATGATTTGAGACTGCATACCTCTTTTAAATTGGCTCTTTGTTGTGTTAAAATGAGTGTAGGTTGCATGTGAAGCTTTGCACCCGCTGCTGGTGATTATATCTCATCATGTGGACGCTGCTGCTGCTGCTGCTGGTGGGGGGGGTGAGAGCGAGTGCATCTGCCATCTGTCCCATCATGCCATGCTGCGTCCTCCTACCCTCTAACATCGGCATATCCCCCCTCCCCGTTTCCCAACACACACATATACAACTGACACACACATACAGTACACGAGGCTGGGGTCAAATTTGTGGCAACATGGCTAAGCCTAAGCTGTGTTTACTATTATTTATTGGATCTACCTGCTTGGCAGCTATATATTGTGCCAACTTCTGGACAGAGGCATATCACAAGTCTAAAGAAAGCCAAAACAAAAAAAACGTTTATTCATCACACTTTTTTACAGCGTAGCACATAATGAAAGTTAGACTTAGCATTTGACAATATTACTAAGAGCAGTGTGCAGCTACTCTGAAGCGGTCCACACTCAGTACGTTGTCTTTGTCTCAAGTTGTGTACTTCTGGACTTGCATGTGCTATTGTCTGTGCTTAAGGTTTTTTTCCCAATGTGGTTAAAATGCATCTTGAGATGGTGCCTTCATAACTGCAAACAGTTGACTGTCAATTTGACCTTTCTCGCACTCAAGAACCCACATCATGGCTACATAATGCTGCATAACGATACTGGTGTCGAAATGAAACCATACTTAATTTTATTGTGTTAATTTGAGTAAAGTCTGAAACCATAACGTTGCTAGCCGGGAGAGCGACAGTGTGCCATTCGAGACAACACTAACCGGTAGAAATGCACACACAGCACAAGTGATCACAGTGTTGGACATGCAGTGTACTAAGGAGAAGTGTTGGCATTGGTCTGTTTGTGGACTTGAACCGGTAACGTTCCTGACTCAGCTATACAGGCAACTGTTCAGGACCTTAGAAAAGCTGCTGAAATCACAAAGGAAGTATTTATTTCCTCTTGTTTTGTCCACTCCCTCTCAATAACTTGAGTTGACAGTGGAGCTCAGACGTTCACACAGACATGGCGACCTAACCTGCCGTTCCCAACAATGCAAAGACAGTTTATTGATCAGAAGAAAAGCACTTGTGCCTTTTACAACCATTTGTGTGTGTGTTTGAGTCTTTTGGTCGTGTGGGGGTTGGGTGCTGCAAATAAAGCAGCTTTGTGCCTTGTGAACTTGAGCCACAAGTGCCAGCTGGCAGGCCGTTATGCAATCACAACAGCAGAGATGCACACATGCAACACAAGCTGCATATGGACACAATGTAGCATCCACACACACACTTACATGTCACACACACACTTCAGTGTCACCCCGGGGCGCTTTATTCTGACTCCAGCGGTCCCACAGTGAGGCACACCCTCTTTCGGGGGTGTAATGGGAGGCGGAGGGAGATTACTGCTCCAGTCTTCACCTCCCTCTCGCTTTACTGCCGCGGGATTGACAGCCAGGCTTATGTCAGCGACCTCATTTCCTGCCGGTCTGGTAGTAGCTTGTTTGGGATGTGAGATCCTCAAAAACATCTGCGCGGAGATTGAGTTTACTGCAGTTGTGTTAAAGTATCAGCGGTACACACAAAGGCTGTCCTCTCCTCAAGGAATCCCAAATCTTATCTGATGTGTAGATTGTGTATTTGTTTACTGCTGTGATAACTGTTGTTTCAGTAACTCTTGTATTAGTAACTATGTATTAGTAACAGTTGTGTTATTAATTTCTGGCTGCAGTGACTCTCGCTGAGTCAGCCTGAAGAATGTGTGTGGGCTAGATTGTGACATAATGTCTCCAACGCAAAGTGTGTCCATAAATCATAACGTTACTAAACTGAGGGAGTGCCTTATCAATGTTGTGCTCCTGCTGATGCCAGGAGTATGATGATTATAGGGTTGTTTCACTTAATTGATTCAGGGAGTTTCTCTCCCACACACTCCCCCCCCCCCAGCAGGAGAGGACTCTTTAAAGTAGAGACACTACATACTGATATACACCTGAACATCAGCAGGAGAGGACTCTTTAAAGTAGAGACACTACATACTGATATACACCTGAACATCAGCAGGAGAGGACTCTTTAAAGTAGAGACACTACATACTGATATACACCTGAACATCAGCAGGAGAGGACTCTTTAAAGTAGAGACACTACATACTGATATACACCTGAACATCAGCAGGAGAGGACTCTTTAAAGTAGAGACACTACATACTGATATACACCTGAACATCAGCAGGAGAGGACTCTTTAAAGTAGAGACACTACATACTGATATACACCTGAACATCAGCAGGAGAGGACTCTTTAAAGGAGAGACACTACATACTGATATACACCTGAACATCAGCAGGAGAGGACTCTTTAAAGTAGAGACACTACATACTGATATACACCTGAACATCAGCAGGAGAGGACTCTTTAAAGTAGAGACACTACATACTGATATACACCTGAACATCAGCAGGAGAGGACTCTTTAAATTAGAGACACTACATACTGATATACACCTGAACATCAGCAGGAGAGGACTCTTTAAAGTAGAGACACTACATACTGATATACACCTGAACATCAGCAGGAGAGGACTCTTTAAATTAGAGACACTACATACTGATATACACCTGAACATCAGCAGGAGAGGACTCTTTAAAGTAGAGACACTACATACTGATATACACCTGCACATCAGCAGGAGAGGACTCTTTAAAGTAGAGACATTACATACTGATATACACCTGAACATCAGCAGGAGAGGACTCTTTAAAGTAGAGACAATACTGATATACACCTGAACATCAGCAGGAGAGGACTCTTTAAAGTAGAGACACTACATACTGATATACACCTGAACATAAGCAGGAGAGGACTCTTTAAAGTAGAGACACTACATACTGATATACACCTGAACATCAGCAGGAGAGGACTCTTTAAAGTAGAGACACTACATACTGATATACACCTGAACATCAGCAGGAGAGGACTCTTTAAAGTAGAGACACTACATACTGATGCACACCTGAACATCAGCAGGAGAGGACTCTTTAAAGTAGAGACACTACATACTGATATACACCTGATCATCAGCAGGAGAGGACTCTTTAAAGTAGAGACACTACATACTGATGTACACCTGAACATCAGCAGGAGAGGACTCTTTAAAGTAGAGACACTACATACTGATATACACCTGAACATCAGCAGGAGAGGACTCTTTAAAGTAGAGACACTACATACTGATGTACACCTGAACATGTGCCTTATATGTCCTCTTGAATGGATGGGAGAAGTGAAAAGAAATGGAAAGTTGGTTGAAAAGTTTAAACCAGCTTCTGCCATGTGCAATAGTCACTAAACTTACTTGAACATTGTTCAATTGTATGAAAAAACATTCTAACAGTATCCACTTTCTTTGGAATAATGGTGTTAAATAACATCCAGTTTAAATGTATGTTGTGTTAGTGTGTGGTGTCAATAAAGGGCTCGTCTGTCAGGCTTTCCTATATATATTTACATTGTATTTGTTGTAATTTTACCGCTTGCGCCTTAACACCTGAAGCACCAGGAGATCCCAGCTTCCTGAACAATGTGGCACTTGGTTATCTTTGGCTTGTGCTGTAAATCACTAAAACACATTAAAAAAAGCTCCTGAGGGATGAATCTCAGATGTCCTCTCTCTCTGTGTCTCTGCAGGAAGATCTGTGTGCACTGTAAGTGTGTGAGGGAGGAGCACGCGGTGCGCGGCGTGCCGGGTCAGCTGGAGAAGATGATGACGAAGCTGGTGTCCGACTTCCAGAGACACTCCATCTCCGACGACGACTCTGGCTGCGCCTCGGAGGAATACGCCTGGGTGCCGCCGGGGCTCAAGCCCGAACAGGTAACAGCACACACACACATCGAGACAGGGAGGAACAACACACTGGTCTCCATTGGACGTGTTCCTACACACACACACTTTATTACCATGGGAACTAAGGTTACTGATTTACGACTGTAATTGAATAAATTGCTCTGTAAATGGCTAAATGGATCTCTGCGTTCTGTTATTGATGATCCTTATGTGAACAAGCCCTGACAGAGTGTAAATCAGAGCATTGATAACAATATATAAGAAGATCAATAACAATAAAACTGATGTTTGGACTTTTTTGTTGTGAGTTATTGGGAATATGTAATATACATAAAGTTTTAAGATTAAAAAAATAACTATACATATACTTTTTGGGATATATAATATGCATATATATTTTTTTGTATATTATATTTTTTGTTATATATTTTATTAGTATAATTATAAATTGTATTTTGTATGTTGTTTCCTTGTTAAATTTTTTATTTTTTATTTATTCCTTTGTTTATTTGTTTAATTTTAATTTTGTTTCTTTATTTAAAATTTTTAAATTGTATTCCTTCATTTTTTAAGTATAATTTGTACGAGAATTAAACACAATCATTTTTGTAATAAGCTTAGGAATCGCCATACGCGTTTCCAGTATATAATATAACTCACCTCATCGCGAGGAATTCATTATTACTGTTTATTTTATATATTTTTAAGTAGTATACGTTGACCAAAATGAACTGAAATACCTTTTCCTCGTGCTACAGGTGTACCAGTACTTCAGCTGCCTGCCGGAGGACCGGATCCCGTATGTGAACAGTCCTGGGGAAAGATACCGGATCAAACAGCTGCTGCACCAGCTGCCGGCGCACGACAGCGAGGTAACGTCACCTGATCCAGGGTCAGATTCACTCATGCTGTAATGGTGTACTCTCAGTGATCATGCTGTCATGGTGTACTCTCAGTGATCGTGCTGTAATGTTAAATGTTTGTTGTTCATGTATTGTGTCTTTATATATGTGTCTATGTTGATGTTACACATGGAGCTGCTGTGATGCAAGTCAAATTTCAGACTTGATCTGACCATTAAAGTATTATCGTGTCGTGTCGTATACTCTGGTGACATGTTCAAAAACTAATTTGCTAATTCAAAAGACGACAATACCTTAGATTTATTCGTAGCTTTCTTTAAACTAGGGCAGCAAACAATACTTTCTTATTATTGATTGTTCTGCCCATCATTTTGTTAATTCATATTGTGTGATAAACTTCCCTGATGTTTCTGTTTGTCAGTCCAAAGCCCAAAGATATTCACTTGTGTTTGATAGAAAACAGAAAACAGAAAAGAGCTGTTTCTGACATTCATAAAAACATTTTACATGAACATTTTGCAATTATTTGATCATCACAAAATATGTTATTGTGTTTAAATGTTATTTCGAAATGGTTTATTTGACATATTTGTATCATACTCAATCATATGTGTGAGGATAATCCAGTAGGGATTGGTTTTATATTCATGTATACCCTGTATAAGTGTTTATTGGGTTTAGTTTAGCTTTTTGTTCCTTCAGTTTTTACAGAAACTGGTAAATATCGTTCTGTTTTGATGCTCCATTTGGTCGGACTACTTACAAAATTACACATTATATCTATTCATTCATTTGGAATGTACAAAACCAGACTTTTCTTATTTCTTAAATGCCAGTTAAATGGTAAATGGACTGTACTTATGTAGCGCTTTATCCAGTCTTTACGACCCCTCAAAGCGCTTTACATACTACATGTCATTCACCCATTCACACCCATTCATACAGAGCAGTGTACCTTACTCTAGGACCTAACATTCATACACACTCACACACCGTTAGCCATCGGGAGCAACTCAGGGTTAAGTATCTTGCCCAAGGATACATCGACATGCTGGCTGCACGGTGTGTGAGTGTGTGCGACTGTGGCTGCACGGGCTGGGATCGAACCCAGAACCTTCGCCCTACATTACAGTTGCTTCTTATGCTCACTTTTATATAGTTATGACACTTTAAAAACAGGATGATGCATATCAAGAGGCGTATAACCAACTCATGTGTTGTTAATTGAAGTTACACAATCGGTTCGTAAACAAGATACAGATTGAATTCATCTCGCTGAAACTAAGAGGTAGTTGAAGGTTAAGAAGTCGTTTTTTAATGCATATGTCAACACCATTATCTGTGTGTTTCCTGCAGTCTCAGTACTGCAACACTCTGGACGACGAGGAGAAGAAGGAGCTGCGAGTGTTCAGTCAGCAGAGGAAGAGAGAGAACCTGGGCCGAGGCGTCGTCAGACTCTTCCCTCTGACGATGACGGGCGCCATCTGCCAACAGGTAGAGCAGCATTTTCGATTTTATGTCTCCAAAACCACGCAGAAGACTCCCTCGTAAAAATGTGTCCTTGTGATCAACATCATGCACGCAAGGGAAAGCTTTGTAAACACATAGATGCAGAAGGAGGAACTTTTGATTGGCATGTAGGCGCAGGAAAGGCTCAGGGGAGGAAACGATTAAAGGGCTGCTCACTTCATCAAAGGTTAAAGGGATAGTTAAAAACACTTATTTTACCTCTTAACTATATCTTAACAGCTTTAGTGTGAGTTGCAGAGGGTTAGAGATATCAGCTGTATAAATGTCGCGCTGCTAAACAAGTGGTAAACATAACAAATTAACATTATTTTTGACTGGTATTGCAATAGACATAACATTCATAATATTGGAGGATCATTTTGGAGGGGGGAAACTCCCCAAAAAAAACACAATAAAAGGGTTAAAATGGAAGAAACTTTGGGGGGAGCAACAGAGGAAGATCCTTCTCCTAGGACGGACACATATCATTTATATAGTTCATACATTTACAACATAAACAATCCAATCCCCTCTCTTATATCACCTCATACGTTCCAGGTTAAAACCAACAACTAACGGTACAGTTTTCTCTCAGTGACCGTGCTGTAATGTTAAATGTTTGTTTTTCATGTATTGTGTCTTGATATTTGTCTATCTTGATGTTGCACATGGAGCTGCTGTGATGCAAGTCAAATTTCAGACTTGATCTGACCATTAAAGTATTATCGTATCGTACATCTAAATGTATAAACAGCTCTACAGGTGAGAGGAAAAGTGTGTATTTTGGGTCGACCTGTCACCCTCTAACTTCCGTCCCCCGGATCTTTTCCAGTGTGGCCGTCAGATCTGCGGGGGGGACATCGCGGTGTTTGCCAGCCGCGCGGGGCAGAGCGGCTGCTGGCACCCTCAGTGTTTCCGCTGCCACACCTGCAGCGAGCTGCTGGTCGACCTCATCTACTTCTTCCAGGAGGGAAACATCTACTGCGGGCGGCACCACGCCGAGAGGCTGAAGCCCCGCTGCCAGGCCTGCGACGAGGTGAGGGCTCAGGGAGGGAAAGTTATACAGGGTTCTTACGGTCATTAAAAACCTGGAAAAGTCATGGAAATTCAAAATGCTAATTCCAGGCCCTGGAAAAGTTATGGAAAACAATATTTTTCCCAAAGTTTTGGAAAAGTCATGGAAATGTAAGTAAAGTTGCATCAAATATAATTTATATTTGATCTAATCGCCGAAATAATAATACTATAATGATAATAAATACTGTATCGTATAGTAATGAAATGTAAAATGGCATTTAACTGTCGAGGTATTTTGCTAGTGAGAGATTTTAGTTGCTTTAGCGTGTAGAAGCTAGTAAGCCAACTATTTGATTTGTTTTAGATAGGCACAATATGTTTCATATGCAGACCTTATTTTCCTGTTCCATGTTAAAATAAACCATTTTCAGTGGTACCGCTGAGAGAGTAATTTCTTTGGTCATGGAAAATTAGGTTAAGGTCCTGGAGAAGTCATGGAAAATCATTGAAAATCATTGGTGAAAAAGTGTATGAACCCTGTGTATATATATATATATATATATATATATATATATATATCCTTTATTTAACCAGGTAAAAAGTCCCATTGAGATTAAAGCCTCTTTTCTAAGAGCGACCCGGCCAAGAAGGGAAGCATGAACAAAGTTACAACAGATGAAACAGACAATACAGGCAGACGAATACAGCGGTCGTAAAACACAAATGAAATGGCACAGTAACCAGTCAATATGCAAATCAAAGAAACTATAATAAATCATTAAAAGTGGAGGTCAGCAAACAAAATGTATCGCTCTCTTACGTTCAATTGTACCAAGTTTAAAGCTCTATTTCCTTATTCTCGGTCTCTCAACTGTAAACTATCGTATCCACTGTAGGTAACCTTTTCATAGTTATCTTTAAAATTAGAGCGATTCCATATTCAAAGGCTTTATAGTCATATAAACATTACCTACAGCAGGGCTATTCCATTGGCGGCCCCGGGGTGATATTTACTGGCCCTTTGAGTATAATGTTAAAAAGTAATCTACTTTTCTTTTTTTATTACGATTTTATTTATTAGTGCCTTTATTCCAGAGAGGGTGTTAAATTGAGAGATAGAGGGGAAGACATTGCCTGAAAACTTCGGCGGGCTCGGGTTTCGAACCCACCTACTAGCTACTGTAGTGACAACCCACCTACTAGCTACTGTAGTGACAACCCACCCACTAGCTACTGTAGTGACAACCCACCTACTAGCTACTGTAGTGACAACCCACCTACTAGCTACTGTAGTGACAACTCACCTACTAGCTACTGTAGTGACAACTCACCTACTAGCTACTGTAGTGACAACCCACCTACTAGCTACTGTAGTGACAACCCACCTACTAGCTACTGTAGTGACAACCCACCTACTAGCTACTGTAGTGACAACCCACCTACTAGCTACTGTAGTGACAACCCACCTACTAGCTACTGCAGTGACAACCCACCTACTAGCTACTGTAGTAACAACCCACCTACTAGCTACTGTAGTGACAACCCACCTACTAGCTACTGTAGTGACAACCCACCTACTAGCTACTGTAGTACAACCCACCTACTAGCTACTGTAGTGAACAACCCACCTACTAGCTACTGTAGTGACAACCCACCTACCTAGCTACTGTAGTGACAACCCACCTACTAGCTACTGTAGTGACAACCCACCTACTAGCTACTGTAGTGACAACCCACCTACTAGCTACTGTAGTGACAACCCACCTACTAGCTACTGTAGTGACAACCCACCTACTAGCTACTGTAGTGACAAACCCCCTACTAGCTACTGTAGTGACAACCCACCTACTAGCTACTGTAGTGACAACCCCACCTACTAGCTACTGTAGTGACAACCCACCTACTAGCTACTGTAGTGACAACCCACCTACTAGCTACTGTAGTGACAACCCACCTACTAGCTACTGTAGTGACAACCCACCTACTAGCTACTGTAGTGACAACCCACCTACTAGCTACTGTAGTGACAACCCACCTACTAGCTACTGTAGTGACAACCCACCTACTAGCTACTGTAGTGACAACCCGCCTACTAGCTACTGTAGTGACAACCCAGCCTACTAGCTACTGTAGTGACAACCCCCTACTAGCTACTGTAGTGACAACCCACCTACTAGCTACTGTAGTGACAACCCACCTACTAGCTACTGTAGTGACAACCCACCTACTAGCTACTGTAGTGACAACCCACCTACTAGCTACTGTAGTGACAAACCCACCTACTAGCTACTGTAGTGACAACCCACCTACTAGCTACTGTAGTGACAACCCACCTACTAGCTACTGTAGTGACAACCCACCTACTAGCTACTGTAGTGACAACCCACCTACTAGCTACTGTAGTGACAACCCACCTACTAGCTACTGTAGTGACAACCCACCTACTAGCTACTGTAGTGACAACCCCCCTACTAGCTACTGTAGTGACAACCCACCTACTAGCTACTGTAGTGACAACCCACCTACTAGCTACTGTAGTGACAACCCACCTACTAGCTACTGTAGTGACAACCCACCTACTAGCTACTGTAGTGACAACCCACCTACTAGCTACTGTAGTGACAAACTGTCATTGATTGCATCTCTGCGTGAATGATTAGATAATTTCACCTAAATTAAATCAAATGAAATGATGTTGATGGTTAAATCAGCTTCACATGTAGGCCTACTGAGTTCTGAACTTGCTATTTAGATCTATAAAGGCCTTGGGGCTATGTCGTTTGATTTAATGAAACACAATATATGCACTCCACTATGCTGTTGTAGTATTTACTGTATCTGAAGCTCTTAATATGATTGCTCATATTTCAAGCCATCTTTTCCCCAGCCCCTTGCTTTGGATCATTTTCATCAACCGGCCCCATTCCAAACTAATTGAATAGCCCTGATGTACAGTATAGTTTCTGCCATTGAAAATCTAAAATCCCAGTCTCTTCCAACAGTGCAACATACAATTTACTTACTGTAAGACATAAAAGAAAAAATACATAAAATAGAGCAAGTGACAGAATGGTGCAAGTAAACTTCAGGAATAAGAAAACTATATACATTTAAAATATCATATGAAAATGTAATCTATAATTAAATACTGCACAGTATACATACATTACTGCTTATTGTAATAATATATAAATATGTGGGTTGTACACAGATGTATGTGCTATAAAAAGAAGGTAAAAACAGCTGTTGATTTTGATTCAAATATGTTCAGAAATATCCCCAAAATTAATCCTCAGGCCCTTTCAGGTGATTTACTATTACTGTTTTATCACTCTCTTAGATCTGTGCATAGTTGAGAGTATTTGCAGATTTCTCTGGGGGGGTTTCCCTGTTTCTAACAGCTCTCAGTGTGACTCAAGAGCTTAGCACACGCAGAGACTGACCTTTTTCATCCTGTTAACCCAAATCCTCAGCATCACTTTTCCTACTGATTTGTTTACTTCTGTGTGTGTGAATCCTCACTGATCTCCCTCTGTGTGCCCCCCCCCCTCTCTTGTGTCTGAACCGTAGATTATTCTGGCTGATGAGTGCACGGAGGCCGAGGGTCGGTACTGGCACATGAAGCACTTCTGCTGCTTCGAGTGTGAGGCGTCGCTGGGCGGTCAGCGTTACATCATGAGAGAGAGCCGGCCGTACTGCTGCGCCTGCTACGAGTCGCTGTACGCCGAGTACTGCGACACCTGCGGGGAACACATAGGTACTGAGTCAAGAATAAAGAAGCTCATTCACAAGGGTTTATATGCAGCTAACAGACAGTATCAGGCAGGTGTTTACCTCAACTTAAAACGTTTGTTCTGGTATGGAGAAATACCGGTTCAATGCTTTGTTCAGATTAGTTGAAGCCTTACATTCAGTATTTTCCCGACAATTACTATTTAAATTAACTAGTGTAAGGTTACAGAGTACTGCGACACCTGCGGGGAATTAAGAATACAATTACAAGGTTTCATATGCAGCGTAAAGCCATTATCGGGCAGATGTTCTTCACTATTTCATTACAAACGTTTTAATTTAACTCTATGCCTCAATTAAAAATAAAAAGTATCTGATGTCCTGAGGTGACAAAGTGTCTGTTTTTAAAAGTGTCATAAAACTATAAATTCACATTATTTTACACTTTTACGTAGTTAAATATACTCTAGGAGGAGATTCAGGTGATAAGGTGGGGGGGGGGGGGTTACCTTGGTTGCTGATTGGCTAATGGTTACACAAGCCAAAAAAATCGTTATGACATCATAAAGTGGCCAAAATCTGATCAGCTCATTTTCTGACAGGTTTTTATATAAATGGATCAGGACAAAAAGAGAGAGAATCTTTGTTCCTGAAACTTTCAGAGTCTCTTTCCACAGAGGGGACACATGTTGATGAAGAAGAGACATGAAGAAGAGGGGACACATGTTGATGTAGAGGAGACATGAAAAAGAGGGGACACATGTTGATGTAGAAGAGACATGAAGAAGAGGGGACACATGTTGATGTAGAAGAGACATGAAGAAGAGGGGACACATGCTGATGTAGAAGAGACATGAAGAAGAGGGGACACATGTTGATGTAGAAGAGACATGAAGAAGAGGGGACACATGTTGATGTAGAAGAGACATGAAGAAGAGGGGACACATGTTGATGTAGAAGAGACATGAAGAAGAGGGGACACATGCTGATGTAGAAGAGACATGAAGAAGAGGGGACACATGTTGATGTAGAAGAGACATGAAGAAGAGGGGACACATGTTGATGTAGAAGAGACATGAAGAAGAGGGGACACATGCTGATGTAGAAGAGACATGAAGAAGAGGGGACACATGTTGATGTAGAAGAGACATGAAGAAGAGGGGACACATGTTGATGTAGAAGAGACATGAAGAAGTGGATTTTGCATAATAGGTGACCTTTAATAATGTCGTCCCCCCAGGTATCGATCAGGGCCAGATGACGTACGAGGGGCAGCACTGGCACGCCGTGGAGTCGTGTTTCTGCTGCGCACGCTGCCGGCTGCCTCTCATCGGACGACCCTTCCTCCCCCGATCCGGACTCATCTTCTGCTCCAGACCCTGCTCTCTGGGAGAAGACCCCGACAACTCAGACTCGTGCGACTCGGCTCTGCAGATCAAACCCGCCGCCGGGCAGAGGCGCTGGGAGGTGGGGGGGAAACAGCAGCAGCAGCAGACCTGTGGTTCCCCTCTGCAGCCACCAGAGGGCGTCAGACTGCCGGTTACTGTGGCTAAAGACAGTATGCACACAGCGGGGGAGAGCAGAGGTGAGCGGCTTGATAGATAGATAGATAGATAGATAGATAGACAGACAGACAGACAGAGAGAGAGACAGAGAGAGAGAGAGAGGTAGGTACTCGTCGTTAACGTTATTTGATCTAAAAAGTCAAAAAGATGCACCAAATGTTTTGCTTGAATATAATTTTGAGTGCTATTTCAAAAAGTCTTGAAATCTGATTTAATGTATATATATATATGTATAAAACTAAACACTTTTTTTTTTTAAACAGTGTTAAGACCCGACTTTTGTGTTATGTTTCATATATTATGTCGCTTTGTTATTATTAATATATATTTCAGTATTTTTTATATAATTTGTTTTATCCTCTTTAGAATTACAACCATTTTTAATAATTGTATTAATATTTTCTTTAATAATTATAATTATTTTTGATAATAATAAGTATTTGTTATTACATTTTTTGTGATATTATTATAAGTATTATTAGTAGGTTTAATATAATTGGTATTCAAATGTTAATGTTTATTTTGTATTATTATATGAGGTGTCAGTCTTACTGTTATTGTTTGTATTTTTTATATAATAAATAAATGTTTTTATAAAGGCGGTCACACAGCCAGTCTCTCATTAAAGCATTCCTCTCCCTCTCAGGTGTTCACTGCTCCGCTCCGGCTCAGAACGGCCTCCCTCCCCCCCGAGGCTCGTACTCCCCTCTCCCCCATATCCACCTGGGGAACGGCTTGGGCCCGTCGTGGCCCAGCGACCTCCCCAACTACAGCCTACTGCCGGGGGACACTGCTCCTGTGAATGGGAACACTGGACTGACCGGTCTGAACTCCAGAGGAACGTCCAGCGCTAAAGACTGCAGGAACTGGGTGGAGAGGACCAATCAGGTGATGCAAGGTATCAGAAGCCACTCAAATACACAGACACATGGTATCAATGGAAGCTGCACAATTAGTGGAATAAAGGAAATATAATTGCAAACTATTTTAATAATTGAGGGTCTTCAGCCCTTTAGATAGATAGATAGATAGAGAGAGCCCGTGTGTTGAAGTGTAATTGTATCACTGTATGTATAGATAGATAGATAGATAGATAGATAGATAGATAGATAGATAGATAGATAGATAGATAGATAGATAGATGGATAGGTAGTTAGGTAGGTAGGTGGATGGATGGACGGACGGACGGACGGACGGACGGATGGACGGACGGACGGACGGACAGACAGACAGATAGATAGATAGATGGATGGATGGTTATTCAATATGGATATATAGACTTTATGCTTGTTATCTGTTTATATTGAATTAAAGGGAGTATCTATAGTTCCACTCCAACAAGCGATCCTACACAGACTTTTTATTTCGTCCCCAAATATGACTTTAATATAACATTTAAATAACATTTTAAAAGTCAATATCTATATAAAAAAACGTTCTGATGGTAATAACAAAAACCTTATAAAAAAACTCACATTTTTGTTTATCTGAAAAATGAAACAAAAACTAAACAAAAAAACAACTGAACAATGTAATTAATCACTTTAGAATCACAACATACGGAAATCATTTATTGATAATCAATTCATCCTTTAATGTCAAAATGTTGTTTTCAGCTTCTCAAATATGGAGATGTCCTGCTTGTCTCAGTTTTAAATCATATTAAACTGAATATCTTGACATGTAGACTCCTCCCTTTGGACTATAAGAAAGAGGGAGGGACATTTCCCAGTGTTCTGAAATGTTCTACAGCAAACACAACCATTGTATCTACATAGCTCATTTCAGCAAGGTATTTATTTAAAGCATTGAGAGAATGTGCAAAAGAAACGCGTTACAAAATGACATTTAGATTACATTTAAATAATTGAACTATTCATATCTTACACTGTAACTTCTATTCATGTATTTTTTCTTTTAATGTTTATTTTATTATCTTTGCTTTGTAATGACTGTTTTTAAATGCCATTTTCTTAATGTCTTTCATTTCTGTAAAGCTCTTTGAATTGCCTTGTGTTGAAAGGTGCTGCACTTTCTCTCCACAGTGTTTCCTCCTCAGAAGAACGGTCACCTGACCTCCCCCTCCTCCCCCCCCGACCCTTCCTCCGTCCTCCCCCCTCCTCTCCCGTTGAAGTCACGTGACCTGATGCCCGTGGACTCCCCCTCTCCCCCCCCTCTCCTGCCCCCCCCACCGCTGGAGGACACCCCCTCAGACTGCCCCCCCCCTCCTCTGTCCCGCAGCGGCACAGCCAGGGTCAGCTTCAGGGAGCCAATCAGCAGCAGCTATTCTGAGGAGGTGGAGGAGGGGGTAGATGAGGAGGAGGAGGATCTGAGGGAGGAAGAGGAGCAGCAGCAGGAGGAAGAGGAGGAGGGGGGGGGCTTCGGGAGCCGGCTGCATCTGCAGAAGGGAATCCCCCCTCAGATGGATCTGCTGGGTGAGAGGAACCGCTAAGATAAATGATTAAACTGATGGTTTTATTCAAAGTTACTTATAAAAAGTTCAACAAGACAAACTCAGAACAACAAGGATCCTAAAAGCAAGTCTAACAAATATTACTTTACATATTATTTGGGAGTCTTGTTCCTGTAATAAAGTGTGTATCAGAAACACTGACAGTCACACAATTAATGAAAACATTTCCCTGTTAAAACAAAAATGTTATCCCATGGGCATAGCAGCATTTAATACTGTTTGTTATCAGCACTTATATAGTTGGTTGATAAAAAATAACTAAGTGAAAAGTTGAAATTATCCGTGTAAGACAGTCTTTTATAGTATTTTGTAGCAGGTTTAGGATTGAGGATTGTATAGAGTGCCACAGTGACGCGTCCTAAAACCCGGAAGTAAACTCCTTCCGGTTCCTTCGACAAAAACACAATGCAATTTCTCCATAGGATTTTGGAAAACAGCTGGAAATAAGGTCTGTGGTTGAGACACATTTGAGAGACGGATCACGTTTTGTTCAGCCGGATAATCTCCACACGTCTACCCTACTTTTATAATTTTCTAATCATAAATCTAGTCGCCAGAAGCAAAATGCTAACGTTATGCTATAAGGAACTACAGCAGGGTCGCTGCTTCAACGTCACGCCAACTTAAAGGTGGGGTAGGTAAGTTTGAGAAACCGGCTCGAGATACACTTTTTGTTATATTCCATGGAATGCTCTTAACATCCCGATAGCAATGAATATCTGAAGTGCTTTGACAAAAAATCCATAAAAAAATGTCATCTGTGGAAGCTGTAGTACTGTAAAAAGCACGACCAATCATTTTAGCCGGCCCGGCTAAAATAACTGGATGGCCTACCTGCCTGTCAGCCTTCCATCTGTGCACAAACTTATCTCGTGCCCTCATTGGTCATGTGCGCGTTCGTGTGTGTTGGAGGAGGGGCTCTGTAAGGAAGTGGCAGATTTTCTCCGGTTGTGTATTTTCAAATTCTAGCGATCTCGAGCCGGTTTCTCAAACTTACCCACCCCACCTTTAAGATCCATATCAAACATACAGATTCAAAATGGTACGAGTTGAAGCGTTTGTTTGAACAGTTTGCAGGAGGCAGGTACTTGCTTTCAAGCAGAACAGGGCAAACACACTTAGAGGAGTGTTTACGTGTTCGGTGTAATGACGTACAACGGCCTCGACAACTTCTGTAGTCCTATTCAGCCACTTGGTAACAACCATCGTTTTTCAGACACGTCAACTCTTCAGAAATCACCAGTGGGGTCACTGCTGATGGATTTAATGTCCTAGAACAAAACGTGATCCGTCTCTTCAATGTGTCTCAACCACAGACCTTATTTCCAGCTATTTTCCTAAACCCTATGGAGAGATCCCATTGGCTCTGAGACGAGGGAACAGGAAGTGCTAAAATGCTGACTCACTTCCGGGTTTTAGGACGCTCTATTTGTTATCATTTTATATTCTTTTAATTTCAGTGGCGAGCCGTGAGCTTTATACCTAGGCCCTCTGACCCCCACCACTTCCCTCGAAAAAAAGGAAAAAAAATAGTTATTACGTCACAGCGTACTTCAGCGGAATATCAAAACAACGGCCCAGGGTGCAAAACGCATCAATGACAGCGACCCTCTACCACACAAAACAACACCTGTGAACCCAATTTGTGTTCTTTGACATTGAAAATGATATTGCATTGTGTTTGTTACTTTCGTTACAGTTGTATGTCTTAAGTGTAATTTGGCATGCTTTTATTTTGAAGGCGAGTTCACGCTGTTGACAGGAAGTTGTTGTTGCTATGGAAACAAGAAAAGTTTCACAGCGGGCGGAACTTGTCATAAAGTCCGCGATAATGAAACCCACCCATTTAGAGGGAAGATATGATTGGTCAATTGTACTGTCATTTGACATTACTCTCTCGTTCAGTTACTATAGCGGGCCCTCTGTGAATCGCAGAGAGGGCCAGACCTTCTTTGATGTAACCCTTCACATTCAAACAGAGACTGAACAGGCAGATTCGAAGGATTTATTTCTTTGGAAATGTTATTTTATTAAATCAAGTTTTTTTTCGGTAAAACTAATGAAAAATATAACAAAAATAATATAAAAAAAATATATATTTTTAAAAAATATATTTTTTTTTAATGTTTTTAAATATTATTTTTTGGAATATCTTAGGCCCTCACAGAGGGCCTAGAGGGCCCTGACGGCTCGCCACTGTTTAATTTATTTTAGGTAACAAGTGGGAGTCTTTTTATCCTACATGCTATAAAATAAGTGAAGAACTTATATTACATTTAAAATCCCTCTTGCATTAAGAAAATAATGAATATATATTTTTGATACTTTCTTAAAAAGCTTCTTGCATTCTGACCAAGCAGAAATTACCTCTTGCTTTTATTTGAAGTCGTTTCTTGGAAGTCTTTCCTTGTCTTAGGACAGAGGGTGTCCTATTCATATTCCACTGAAACAATTGTCAAATGTGTGATATTTGGCGATATAAATAAACGTTGATGGAGGTAGACTTTCGTAGGTCTCGACAATTAGTTGACTACATTTTCGTTATTTAAATGCTGATTTCAGGCGTGTCAAATCTTTATAAAAAAACAAAAAAGAGAGAATATATTTGGGTTTTGGACGTTTATATATTATAATTCTGAAAATAAATGATTTTTTTTGGAAGTGCTGATCAGAACTGAGTTTGGTAAAACATTGAACTCAGTAAAGTGCAAAATAAAATAAATATTTAGGATCTTAATGGATTTTTTTCACATTTTCTCTTCCTCTCAGATGGATCGTCGTATCACCAGCGCAATCAGCGGCGGGGCTGGAGTCGGACTCGTGTTCCCTCGGACCCCGACCTCCACCCCGGGTCAGAGCGACGGCCCCGACGCCCTTCATCCGAACGACCCCGCCTCGAAGTCCTGGACTGGAGGGGTGAGAGAGGGGAGAGAGAGAGGGGCGAGAGAAGGAACTCCTCCTCTCTCACCCTGCAGTCGAGACACTACAAACACGAGGACTGCTCCACCTGCTCCTCCTCCTCCTCAGACTCCGAGGAGGAGGGCTTCTTCCTGGGGAAACCCATCCCTCTGCCCCCCCAGCTCCGAAAACAACCCCCCGAGGAGGAGTATAGTGGGCGAGAGGAGGAGGGGAGGGAGGGGAGGGAGGTTCAGAGGGGGGGGCTGAGAGGAAGCTTCAGGAGGAGGAGAGCTCACAGCCTCGGAGCTAAAGACAAAGATAAAAACTGTGCCATCTCCTAACGTCACAGATCTCACAACCACAGACCATACACTTCCATCATTCACAGACCATACACTCACACCATCTCCTAACATCACAGATCTCACAACCACAGACCATACACTTCCATCATTCACAGACCATACACTCACATCATCCACAGACCATACACTCACATCATCCACAGACCATACACTCACATCATCCACAGAACATACACGAATGGCGTGTTTCCACTACACGGCCTCGCTCGGCCTCGCTCGGTATGGCTAGGCCTCGTTAGGACTGGCTCACTTTATGGCGCATTTCCATTACAGTTTAGGAACTGGGGTAGTATCTAAAGTAACGCAGTGTAGGCGGAGCCGTGACGTCATCTTCAATGAGAACCCCAGAAAAACAACACAGCCGTTAGCTGTTAGCACTCAGAGCTCACAGCTCCTCATATCTGTTCAGAAACTAGACAAAAGTTAAACAAGTACAAACCACAGACTGTCTGTGTCATGGTGAATACAGTCGCTGCTTTATTTATGTCTGTATAGGCCGTTGTTGTGAGTGTGGACGGTCGGAGCATATACTGCGTTAGCTTAGCCAATCTCCATTTAGAACACACGCATTTTAAAAGGTGTTTCGCCTGCCGTCTGTCTGCAGACTTGACAAAGCATTAATTCATGGTTTTTACTAACCGGTATCAGTATGTTGTTACTTCGGCATCATTTTGAAACGTGTATTACAATTAAATCACGGTCAAATATGTCCATCTTGTTGTAGTTGTAGCCCCCTTGCCAGCGATGCTCTCTCTAGTTTAGCATACTCAGCCCGACTCAGCCCTGTTTGTTGGCCCCGATAGAACCACGATTTTGTCGGGCCAGAAAAGAGGTGAAAAAGTACCCCCGGGCCGGAACTAGGCATAGTGGAAACGCAACAAAAAACGGGCCCGGCACGACACGGCACGCTTAAACCGCGCTCCGCGCCATGGTGGAAATGCGCCATTACATCATTCACAGACCATACACTTACATCATCTCCTAATTTAGGATCAATACAGGATCTATGTAACGTCAGACCAAAGTTAAATGATGGTGCAGAGAGAACTGAAGCCTCTCATCACTCTGGCATTCAGACGGTTCATGATGATACAAGACCTGCAGACTTTAATAACAAAGGTGGTCACACACACTACTTATCAAGAGGAAGCACAATGAGCCTCGGGCGAGTCGAGACCTTTCATTGAACAGAATCACATAATGGCGTATTAGGGTCAGTGTAGGTGAAAAGCAATACAAAATGGAGTCAGAGGAGGGGGAATAATCCAAGAAAATACTCAACATTTCTGAGAAAAATCAAATATTTTCCACGATTATTCAGACACAAATATACGAGAAAACCAGAAATTTACGAGAAACAATATGACATACTTGAAATTTGAAGTAATACATTTATGAAAAGAAAATTCTGAATCTATGTGAGAATTTAAGTTATAATTATAAGACAAAAAAAAACGAATATTTGAGAACTCAAGTCATACATTTACGAGAAGAGAAATCTGAAAATATCTGAGATTTGAAGTTATAAATATTCGAGGGAAAGAATATAAGATTTAAAATCAGAAATGTACCCGAAGATATCCAAGACATTTGGATAAACATTCTTTTGGCTTTCCTTAGCAAGGTTTGATCCACTTTGCCACTTCAATCAGGAGAGACGGTTTTGATGTAAGAGTACATATTTATTGCCAGGAATACACAAATGGGGGCTTGACCCTGGTGGTGGTGAATGGATAGTTGGGGTCGGTCTGAAGGGGAGGGGCTTAGCTTGACCCTGGTGGTGGTGAATAGATGGTTGGGGTCGGTCTGAAGGGGAGTGGCTTAGCTTGACCCTGGGTTCAGAGGGACAGGAGGTGAAAAGGGGGTGAGGAGGGTTGCGTCGAGTCATCTGAAATGACAGCTGTCAGAGGGGAGAGCAGATTTAAAAGGGTTAGCAGAGCGCTATGATAGGCTTGTGAGAATAGAGCGAAGTGATTGGTTAAGCTGGGGAGTGACGCCCCCGATCACTTATTGAGAGGAGAGAGAGTAGTAACATGGACATACTAAATGAATGAGTGGGGACGGTCTTCCTGGTTGAACTTGCGCTGAGCTTCATTTGTCGTGTATTAGGACCTTACATGTATCAATGAAACGTTTTTCTGTTTTTAAATGCGCAACTTTTATCACGGAGAAACCATTTTAACTCACATTTGAGATTTGAATCGAAGAAATTCTGATGAATTCTCTGAGTTTTTCCCCTTCCAGCTTTTCTGTCATTTCATTATGATCTTTCTATACAGCCCTGATACGCCGTCACATTGTCGACTCTTCATGGTTCACCTTCAGTGTATAAAAGTGTATGAAACCTGTGAAAAGTGATGAATGTGATTATTGGAAACGTTTGAATTATTAAGAGAGGATTGACATAATGCAAACTCGCTCCTCCATCAAATAAATATGAAATATATCTTGTTTTTTATCCCAACTGTAACCACTTCTCTGTGCTCTTATGTGCTACTTTTATATATATGACTGTAAATTACAGCTATGAACACTAAATGGCCAAATATTATGGGAAGGAGATTTAAAGTGAGCTCCTGAGGTGTGTGTCGTTCAGTCCAGATAAAACACTGCAGCGTTTGTATACGTCTTATATTGAAAAAACAATTATTTTTATAACCTTGGTGTCGGTCGCTGTTTTATTTCTGGTTAAAGACCAGATAATGAATCTGTGTCTATGATTGTGAGAGACAACTTTATGGTGATATTAAATTTGTCTAAATTGTTTGTCGTGTTGTGTAATTTATTCCACATTTAACACCTAATCTACAAACAAGACCTTTGCAGTTTGACAATTACAGATCATGCTTTTCAAGTCAACATCTTTTTCTAGTTCGGGACCAAAGAAAATATTTAACTTGGACTTTGAGAAACTGGAATGGACATCCTTTCACTAAGTAAAGGGATAATGTGCAGCGAGGCGGTCATTCTGGGTAAAAGAACACCCGACAGGCGGATCAGGAGCCCGACGCGAAGCATGCAGTTTGCTTTTCGGCCAAACTGTATACAATTAAATCGACCGGACTTCTTTGTGCAGATGTGAGCAACGGTCAATAAATCCTTGACAGCGGTCTGTCTATTCTGGATTAACAACGTGTCACGTGTTCTGAATTGACCAATCAGAATCGAGTATTCAACTAAACCATGTAATAAAATCTGATACAGTACACCAAACTACTAATAAGAAAATAATTGTTAGCTGAAGCAACAATTGATAAGTCAACGTTTTTTATTAACTGGAAGATTGGCTTTATTTAGGATGTATTTGTCATTTTGACCTGAGATTAGGTTTTTGAAAACCCTTCAGAATAAAAAAACATACAATAGCTGTGTGTGTGTGTGTGTGTGTGTGTGTGTGTGTGTGTGTGTGTGTGTGTGTGTGTGTGTGTATATATATATATATATATATATATATATATATATATATATATATACTTCAATCAGGAGAGACGGTTCTGATGTAAGAATACATATTTATTGCCAGGAATACACAAATTAATGTAATGGAGTTTTGGCGATTAGGCCCCGTTGTGCAGGAGTATCATTCGGGAGGGGAGAACCGATCCGATGAAACCCCCCGGGGTCTTGACACTGGTGGTGGTGAATGGATAGTTGGGTTCGGTTTGAAGGGGAGTAGCTTGACCCTGGATTCAGAGGGACGGGAGGTGAAAAAGGGGGTGGAGGGGGGTTGCGTCGAGTCACCTGAAATGACAGCTGTCAGAGGGGAGAGCAGATTTAAAAGGTTTAGCAGAGCGCTATGATAGGCTTGTGAGAATAGAGCGAAGTGATTGGTTAAGCTGGGGAGTGACGCCCCCGATCACTTATTGAGAGGAGAGAGAGAGTAGTAACATGGACATACTAAATGAATGAGTAAAGAAGGTCTTCCTGGTTGAACTTGCGCTGAGCTTCATATGTATTATTAAGGCAAATGTACAAGAAACGTATCTATTCTCTGAGATCACAAATAATACATCTCCAGAAGACAATGAAATGTTTTCTGAGTGCAAATTCATACATTTACGAGAATATCTGACATTTTAAGACAAAAATGTACAAAAAAGTCCAAAGATATCTGAGAAAGTACGGAATTTAAGAGAAAACATATAGAAAATGTCTTAGATTTGTAGTCATACATTCACAAGAAATACATCTTATATATACACAGTTTCAGGTTTGGGTAAATAGAGTTAGAAAAGGAGAGGAAATACTTAGAAAGGGTTTTACAAACTAACATCTATCAATCAAAAATAACAATTGGTTCTTTTTGCTTCTTATTCGTACTGTATTTGTATAGTTGTAAAGATAATATATCTCACATCTTTGTATTAACATTATATACACACACAACTCTTCATACCAGGGTACATAAACATTATCATACGGCCATATTGCTGTAGTTCTTGGGCTAGAAAGAACTAAAATATATATAAATATATACTTGTACACAATGTAATACACTGTTTGTCCTCACTGCTTTCTTATTTATCAGGTTTTTTATCAGGGTGCCATATGTATTTAGTCATAAACATGCAGGTGACCTCTGAACCCTGGAAGTGTTATCAGCAGGAACAAAGTCATGTGACCAGAAGCAGGTTATGTCCTTGTAGGAGAGTGAACGGACCAATCAGAGGGTGGGGGGCGGAGCTTAGGAGAAGCGCATGAGTGAAACAGGTTTGTCTTGAGCTGAAAGTCCCCTCACACACATTCAAACACACACACTCCTACGCCAGGCAGCACAGTGTGTTCTACAACAAGAAGGATCCACGGGGACTGGAAAAGGTGAGTTTTTGTGACGAAACGTTACAAATAAATCAGCTAGCACACCTTTAGACAGGCAGGCCAGGTGAGGCGTTCAGGTGCAATTAGGAATTTTCTTCAGTTGTTTACCTGCTTCCTTTTGTGTTTCTGCCTCCATGTTTGTCATTTTCTCTGAAAGGCAGGACTTGCTGGCACAGAAACGTTAAGAAACTAAATTAGAGGCTGTGTTTGTGTTGTGTGACTCACCTTTTTTTAGCCTGTTGTTACTTTTAATTATATTTATCACAGTGCTGGTTCAGTGTGTGTACGTGTACATGTGTGAGAGTGTGTGCGTGAGACTCGAGGGCAGGTATAAGGAGAGTCTTTATCAGCAGGAGTTTGGCTCAGACTGGAATGGGAAATATGTGGAGAATGTGACTGGCATATGCTGACTTTTTCTAACACACACTCACAGACATTAAAACACACACACATACACACACTTACAAATCAAGTTCATCATGGCGACCTTCGCATTTCAAAGAGGGATGCCTAGCTGAACTTGGTCGTTGTGACTTTAGAAAGAGGGGGAGGACGTCCTTAGATTTCTAGTAATTGAAATAGTAATACACTAGTGTGGAAATACTTTGTTATGAGTAAAAGTCCTGCATTTATTTTAAGTAAAAGTAAACCTAAGTGTACCTAAATAACAGCTGGGCAATATATATATATTCTATATCGATATTGTCATATGGTATTTATCGTCTCACATGTTCTGATATTGTATTATTGCATTAGTACCTTCCTGGTTTTAGAAGCTGCATTACAGGAAACTGATGTCCTTTTCTGAATGTACCAAAGTAAATCTTATGATTGCCTTTAATCACAGTACTTATGGATCAAAAATTACATTGATTTGATATTGATGTATTTGGTTAAAACATATTGAAATTTAAAGTACCAAATGTATGTACTTATTATTCACAGGGCCCATTTCACAGTTAAATATATATATATATAATTGTTCATCTTTTTTATTTTGTAATTCAGTAAAGGGAGCTAACTTTAACTTTCGGGTAAGGTAATCCATCATAATACATTGAGTTTTTATATATGTATATACATTTTGAAATGAATAATTGGATCCTGCAAAGTAACCATTGTTGTCGAATAAATGTGCTGAAGTCAAATGTACTTTTGCCTACAAATTTGAGTGGAGTAGAAGTAACATAGGGAAGCATAACATGGAAATACTCAAATAAAAGTTCCTCAAATGTTTAATTAAGTAGCTTAAAGTACTTTAGTAAATGTACTTAGTTACTTTATTCTAATCAGGAAGTGTGTGTGTGTGTGTGTGTGTGATACACACAATAGCTTGTCGACAGCTATCCAGAAACACCTCCTCAACACACACTTGTGCCTTCTACTGCCTGCTATGTTACTCTTTGTGTGTGTGTATGATGGAGAGTAATTGTTTGAGAGCAGCTGATTGGCTGCTGGGTGGAGGTGTTTGCTGTTAGTTTTAAAGAGCCTCATGGGACCCTTCTGTTTGGTACGCACATTTAATTTATTCATTACTTTAGTCGGAGAGAATGTGAAATAAAGTTTGGACTATTGAGAGCTAATGCACGTCTGAATTTACACTTTTTGTTATATTGCTTTGGATAAAAGTGTCAGCTAAATAGTTTTTAAATGTAAACGAAACACTGTAAAAGGTTATAATGACATGTTCAGTTTCTAGACATGGATAATGTTCAACCTCTGTCCCAGCAGAGACTTTTTATTAACAAAATAGTTATTATAAGTGCATCAGAAGAAGTGTTTTCATTTTGAAATTCTCAGACATGATACAATTTCAATATCTACATGATTATATTTACATGTGTTGCCCAAGTAAATAAAAGCACATTGAAGTCAATATGTGTATAAGTGCATGATGTGTATGTGATGTGTATTTTCTGTACGATTAACAGAAACGTAGCATTGTCTTTGAACAGGAAGTCGTTTTTAAATGTTCCTATATGGAGACTGGGTTTGTTTTATACAGCCAGTATTAAAACTGTTTACTTCAAGTTCCTGAACATGTCAATGCAAAAACAAAAATGCAAACCATGCATGTTTCCCCTAAAGGTTTGTAACGCAGAATGATTTTTCCCTCCTCTATAAACAAGTCAGGAATGTCTTTTATATCGGGGACAATCTGCACAAAAGGCCTGGACATGTCTGAGCGTAAATAAAATATCAAACAATGCGTGTTATTTACCTAAAAGCCTTGTGATATGTTCAGGTGTCCTTACTTCAAACCAGTGTCCTCTCTACCTGTAGAAACTCGTCTGAAATGCTCCTAACGTACGATAACAAACTCCCAGCTGTTCTTAAGAGAGGACTTCCTAATTAGCACTATGCTAGCTGGTTGCTATTGCTAACATTTGCTAGTTTATTTTGCCATAACAACATATTCTACGCAGTAATATTTGGTGACGTGCTCAACATAAACTGCCCTTTTTTATCTGTATTATGAACCAAGAGGATTATAACTGCATTATGCTTGCGTCCTTGTGTTTTCACTTGTGATGTGCTGCAACAAAAACTCAGTTAAAATGACTTCAATTTAGCTTTTGTACCTGATGAGTTTACAAAGTATATAGTGAAGTAAAATCCATTTGTAGGCTGCGTTCAAAACCACTCCTTGTATTGTGGCAGCCCTCGCAAAGTACACACTGTTGTATGTACGCAGTATGCATACAATTTAGGCGTACTTGAACTTTGAGCCAATGCTCATATATCCGCTGGTCGTGGGTCAGCATGGCCAGAGAAGTATATGTTCTGCAGAGTTTGAATGTGACCGGTTGCAGTGGAACGTCCTGGGTTTTTTGCGTACTGCTTTTGACATGCAGTTCTATTTATTAGGACATACTTAAAGAGGACGTATTATGTTGTATTGTGTTTTCCCTTTCCTGTAGTGGGTTGTTTAGGTTTTGGTGCATGTAAATGGTCTGCAAAGGCTAAAATCCCTGTGTTTCTCCCCCCCCCCCAACATCAGCAGGAGAGGACTCTTTAAAGTAGAGACACTACATACTGATATACACCTGAACATCAGCAGGAGAGGACTCTTTAAAGTAGAGACACTACATACTGATATACACCTGAACATCAGCAGGAGAGGACTCTTTAAAGTAGAGACACTCCATACTGATATACACCTGAACATCAGCAGGAGAGGACTCTTTAAAGTAGAGACACTACATACTGATATACACCTGAACATCAGCAGGAGAGGACTCTTTAAAGTAGAGATACTACATACTGATATACACCTGAACATCAGCAGGAGAGGACTCTTTAAAGTAGAGACACTACATACTGATATACACCTGAACATCAGCAGGAGAGGACTCTTTAAAGTAGAGACACTACATACTGATATACACCTGAACATCAGCAGGAGAGGACTCTTTAAAGTAGAGGCACTACATACTGATATACACCTGAACATCAGCAGGAGAGGACTCTTTAAAGTAGAGACACTACATACTGATATACACCTGAACATCAGCAGGAGAGGACTCTTTAAAGTAGATACACTACATACTGATATACACCTGAACATCAGCAGGAGAGGACTCTTTAAAGTAGAGACACTACATACTGATATACACCTGAACATCAGCAGGAGAGGACTCTTTAAAGTAGAGGCACTACATACTGATATACACCTGAACATCAGCAGGAGAGGACTCTTTAAAGTAGAGACACTACATACTGATGTACACCTGAACATCAGCAGGAGAGGACTCTTTAAAGTAGAGACACTACATACTGATATACACCTGAACATCAGCAGGATATGTATTCTTTAAGATGAATGTGTTGTTCACATCCTCCTGACTGATGTGTCTCTCTTCCACAGGAACTTCAAAGCCAGGAACTAGATCTCCTCTGAGATGCAGGGATTATAGATCTTCAGAGATGGAGCGCAGCTGATCTGCCGCACACATTCAGCTTCAGCAGAACCAGGATTTATTTCAAGGATAGAACTTTTAAACAAGATGCCTCTGGAGATGCTCCAACAGCAGCCGAGGAGGACGGCTCTAGCAGGGACCCCCCCCCGCCTGAGGCCGAAAGGGCCGGTGGGGCCCGACTTCTACCGGCAGCTGAGGGCCGTGGCAGCTGAGGGGGGTCCGAGGCAGAGCGCCGTGGAGAGGCTGGAGGCCGACAAGGCCAAGTACGTGAAGAGTCAGGGGGCTCTGAGTAAACAGCAGCCTCTGGAGGAGAGGAAGGGGCCTCTGGAGGTCCTGGAGATGAAGAAGGGGCCCCTGGAGGTGAGGAGGGGGCCTATGGAGGTGAGGAAAGGGCCTCTTGAAATAAAGAACGGGCCTCTTGGGCTGAGGAAGGGGCCCCTGGAGCTGAGGAAAGTGCCTCTTGAGATGAAGAACGGGCCCCTGGAGGTGAGGAAGGGGCCTCTGGAGCTGAAGAAAGTGCCTCTGGAGGTCCTGGAGGTGAGGAAGGGGCCTCTGGAGGTGAGGAAGGGGCCCCTGATGAGCTCTGCGGCGATGAGGCCCACCAGGAAGACGAACACTAAGCCGGGGGGGGGCGCAGCTGGACCTGCAGCACCTCAGCAACCTGATCAGTGTCGGTGAGGGGGGGGCGCACTCTGAGGAGAGGGAGCCCGCTGAAACCGCTGACTCGACACAACAAGGTGAGTCTTTCTATTTTAAACTTGTTTTTTATTTAATTTAATTATAACCTTTTTTTTGTGGTTATAAATGGTTGCACGATTCACAGCATCACCCTCCCTAACCCCTCTTCTCGCCCCCTCCTGCAGGCCCGCAGCAGCAGAAGGAGCGTCCGATCCCCCCCCCTCGCCCCGACTGGTCCAGTCCGGCTAAAATCAGATTAAAAACATCGGTATCGACCCTGATGGAGTATCCTGGTTCTCCAAATACTCCTGGTGCTCCTGGTGCTCCTGCAGGGACGGTGCGCAGGGTGGACGTCCTGCCTCCTGCCTGCAGACCCCCCCACTACATGCTCCAGCCCCTGCAGCCCCTCCCTCTTCACCCCCAGTCTCCCCTCCACCCAGGCCCCTCCCACCTGCGTCTCTTCCACACCAGAACCACTCCCCGGGCCTCGCCTCTGAAACCCGTCGTGGCTGCATATAAACCTGTATGTCCTGCTGGTAAAACCCCCTCCTCCTCCTCCCCCTTCCCCACCTCCCTCCCTGCCTTCCCCCCCCCCTCCCCCGCCATCACCCTCCTCTCCTCCTCCAGCTCCAGGAAGCGCCGCTCCCTCGCCCGCTCCAAATCGGACCTGAGTGACCGCTGCTCCATGGAACGTTTCTTCAACCTGTGCGGCGTCGACCCGTCCGACCTGCAGCTCGCCGGCTCCTGCTCCGACATCGTGTCCCTGGCTCGGTTCCGCAGCGTCAGCGCTCCGGGGTCCGAGTGTGCCGGTGAGGAAGAGGAGGAGGAGGAAGAGGAGGAGGCTGGGAACGCCGCAGCAAGAGTTCCTTATGGAGTTTCTGTCATCGAGAAGAACGCCAGAGTCATCAAGTGGCTGTACGGACTCCGACAGGCCAAAGACACCAAGAGCACCAACCTATAGCATCTCAAGACTGCTTCAGTACGGATCCATCCAAAGGTTATTTGTTCTTTAGTATATATGTCAACAAATTGTGCCAAATGTGCATTACCAGTTTCTCCAAGACTTGAATTGAGCAAATGGACCAATTTGTTGCACGGGCTGCAACTCAGGATCATTTTCACCATCAGTTAATCTGTAGGTTATTCACTAGATTCATATAATGTCCGAAAATACAGGGGAAATGTCCTGGGTCGTTCCTCCAAGGCTTTGACTGTGCAAAAAAGAAACGGTTAACTAATGGTCTTTAACTGGGCTGCAACTACTTCCTTATGAAATAATCTGCAGGTTATTTTCTTCATTAATATGAACGTCAGGGAATAGTAAAAAAAAAAGTACCAGTTTGATGCATTCTGTGAAATTGACTGTAAAAGGGCTGCAACCAAGGATTCTTATCGACCACTTAAGAAGTTGATTATTTCTCGATTTATTGTTTGATATGTCACAATTTCTTCAAGCCTTTACATGTGCCAAATGAACAATGTACAGCACAGTGGCAAATGGTCTTAAAAATAGGCCGATAATTAGGAATTATTTTCCAGTTTAAATGATTAATCAATTGGATTATAAAATGTCAAAAACATCCTAGTTTTCCAAAGTCGTGAAATGTCTTGATTTGTTCGTTCAAAACCCAACGAGAAAAGCAGATCATCTCCATATGTGAAAACGGCATGTTCAGTAATCAGTTTGACTTGTTGACTAATTGTTGCAGCCAGTGAGATTTAAAACCAAAGTATAAATGTCATAATGAAACTGATAGTAATTCATTTCCATTTGTTTTTTTATTTTACAAAAAGATGTTATCTTTATTTTGGAAATGTAAGTTTGATAGACGGCGAAAGTCTTCAATATTCCTTTGTTAATTTGTCTTTTTTAAATGCTTTTTCTTTGTGGAAGTCCCTCTGTGGTCCCGTAAATGAACGGCATTAAAGATTGTACAGTGAACGCATCTTGTTTGACACAGTGTTTTATGTTAAAGGGGACCTTTCATGCAAAATGCACTTTTGTACGTCTTTTACACATGAATATGTGTCCCCGGTGTTCCAGGGAACTCACCAAGTGTCAGAAAACACAACCCTCTCTATTTTCCTCCATACTCAAATCTCTAAAAAAGGGGCTGCAACGGATCTGATAAAAACTGATCCAGATTTGAACACTGTCCTGACGTCAGGACGGTGGCGCTACGGCTATTGGGCCAACTCCACCAATCAGGGGAATGTGGGGTTGGGCCACGGCCGGCCATTGCCGCTCGAAAGCGCTGGAGACGCTGTAGTACATATGCCAGGCCTGTAAGTGGCGCTGTAGTCTGCCACAAAAGCAGCGAAGAAGACTTCCCGCCCATAGTTACCATGGTTACCCTTCTGTTTATTCTCCGCTGTGGCTTTTTTTCTCCCTCCCCGAGGCAAGCGTTTGCTCCCGCTGCAAGCACTGTAATTCTCTCCGGTTAGTCCACCAGCAGATGACAAACACCCACCTCTCCGCCTCTTCCAAGGAACGAGGGGACCGTGCGGCAGAGTTTCAGTTTCAGTTACTTTCGCCGGTCAAGATGTCCGTTAAAGTTTAAATCTTCCGGACAAAATTAGAAAAGTGCCGGTCAAAGGTCTTCTTTGTTATTTATTGAGCTTTAAAACAAATGAATAACGACTCTATATAATAAAACACGGAGGACAGAGATCTCTTTTTCTCCCCCTCTTCTGACAGCCCAGCAGCTGATCAGAGCACGTCTCCCCTCTCTTGCAGGGGGGCGTGGTCAGCAGAATCAGACCCGTAGACAGCAAACAGCACATAGAGCGAAATGAGGCATGGCTAAAATGCATGATCTGTTTGGTATTTTGAAAACAGAAACGTATAAATATAAATATACCTTATATAGGTATGGCCCTACAATATATCATTTAAATATAGCATGATAGGTCCACTTTTAAAGGGGCCTTTTATGCTCTCTGGGGTTTCCCTTTCCTGTAGTGTGTTATAGGCAGTGTTCGAAATGGGGGGGGAGCCAGGGGGAGCTTGGCTCCCCCGAAGAGGGAGGGAGCTCCCCTGAAGGCCGACTTTGAGATAAATAGGGGGAGCCCAAAACAATTGTGCATATTTGTGTCACACAGATTAGAAATGTTGAGTCTCTGTAAATAACAGTTCTTGAAATAAATAATAGTTATTGTTCATTACAGTTTCTGAATATTTGTTTTATATTTGTGAATATAGCCTGAAGAGGCTTCAACAACGGCCACAGCCGACGGCGTAGTGACACCGTCTGTAGTAGTAATTGATCGAATCCGCACTGCTGCGCCAGTCAACAGAGCGTGCGTGTGACATATTTAGTATTAGGATGTGCACTGAAAAATAAGGCTCCCCCGAAAGCAAATGGGTAATTCGAACACTGGTTATAGGTTTGTGTGCATGTAAATCAGGGATTGGAAAATGGCGGCCCGGCTCAGACTAATTTATAAACAACGTAATTAATTTAAACAATTTATTTTTATTGGTGTACTTGTAGTACTGATACCGTCCACTAGACTCCTAGTTACGTCGCGAGCTGCGCACATGATTTCGTTCGGCACCCAAATACCACAAAAATAATCTGTGACGCGTCTGTGTATATTGTGTTTGTTTCCCGGGGAAACACTCACAAGAAACACCGGCTGTTGTTATGCCTGCTGTGACGTTAAATTGCCGCTTGTAATTATGCCGTTACAAGCTTCAAAGTTGTATTTATCATCAAAATTTGGCGAAACAAGTTTAATATTCTAAAAACCAAGACTTTGTTTATTTGAAATCAGATGAAAACAAACTGTCACGGACCCTGCCGTGTTATCTATGATTACTATAGCCTTACATTCATAACTTCAGCAGGAGGGAGGGGGAGCGCTCCCCTTATTGTGCGTCAGCAGAGGCAGGCTACAAGTGTCTTAGGTTCAAGTTAGACAACTAATGTCTGGGTTAGTGTTCATGACTTCATGTTTATGTCATCTTCATATTTCATCTTGATGCACACACATTTTCTGTGCTTTCCAATAGTTTAACATAGTTTTATTCCACTGTTAAATAACCTGTTCAATTCAAACATGCCACTTAAATTAAATAACATTTACGTGAACTGATATTTGTTTAGTGAGCTTATTAGAGGATGTTCCCTGAAAGATTGTAAAATGTCAATGAAGATGTCAGACTTTGTATATTTGTTAATAATTACATACAATACATGGAATTTGTGTGTGTGTTCCAAGTGAATCTGCGGCCCCCTGGTGGCCAGGACATGCATTATGTGGCCCCCACCACCATCCAAGTTGCCCATCCCTGATGTAAATGGTCTGCAAAGGCTAAAATCCCTGTGTTCCCTCGTAAAAGAACACTTCCCTTAAACGCCTCCATTGGACTCCTAGTGACATCACTGTTACACTCTCGCTTCTATGGGCTAGCGCTCCATCACATTGTATGTGATAGGCTAAGGGGCGGGACATCTCTAAGCCGTTGACCTGACCAATCACAACAGAGCCGGCCAGCTAACCAATCAGAGCAGACTGGGCTCTGGTTTCAGACAGAGGGTGAAAAGAGGTGCTGCAGCACAGGCAGTATGAGAAAAATAAAGAGCTTTTTGAACATTAAAGCATGGAGACATGTCCCAGTAGAGACACTACATACTGATATACACCTGAACATCAGCAGGAGAGGACTCTTTAAAGTAGAGACACTACATACTGATATACACCTGAACATCAGCAGGAGAGGACTCTTTAAAGTAGAGACACTACATACTGATATACACCTGAACATCAGCAGGAGAGGACTCTTTAAAGTAGAGACACTACATACTGATATACACCTGAACATCAGCAGGAGAGGACTCTTTAAAGTAGAGACACTACATACTGATATACACCTGAACATCAGCAGGAGAGGACTCTTTAAAGTAGAGACACTACATACTGATATACACCTGAACATCAGCAGGAGAGGACTCTTTGAAGTAGAGACACTACATACTGAAATACACCTGAACATTAGCAGGAGAGGACTCTTTAAAGTAGAGACACTACATACTGATATACACCTGAACATCAGCAGGAGAGGACTCTTTAAAGTAGAGACACTACATACTGATATACACCTGAACATCAGCAGGAGAGGACTCTTTAAAGTAGAGACACTACATACTGGAGACACCTGAACATCAGCAGGAGAGGACTCTTTAAAGTAGAGACACTACATACTTATATACACCTGAACATCAGCAGGAGAGGACTCTTTAAAGTAGAGACACTACATACTGATATACACCTGAACATCAGCAGGAGAGGACTCTTTAAAGTAGAGACACTACATACTGGAGACACCTGAACATCAGCAGGAGAGGACTCTTTAAAGTAGAGACACTACATACTTATATACACCTGAACATCAGCAGGAGAGGACTCTTTAAAGTAGAGACACTTGATATACACCTGAACATCAGCAGGAGAGGACTCTTTAAAGTAGAGACACTACATACTGATATGATGCTGAAAAAGAGCAGAATCACCGAGATATAATAGGCAAGGCAAGGCAAGTTTATTTATATAGCACCTTTCAACACAAGGCAATTCAAAGTGCTTTTCAAAAATGAAAGACATTAATTGCATTAAGAAACATATTATAAAATGATATCTAGAAACACTCATTTAAAAGCAATGACAATAAAAGTTACAGTGCAGTTTAAGATATGAATAGTTCAATTAAAAGCAGCGGCAAAAAGAAAAGTCTTCAGCCTGGATTTAAAAGTAGTCCGAGTTGCAGCGGACCTGCAGGTTTCTGGGAGTTTGTTCCAGATATTTGGAGCATAATAACTGAACTTCTCCATGTTTAGTTCTGATATTATTATTCCATATACTGTATGTTATGTGTTAAATAGCTTTGAAGCTGTCCTTCAATGTGCATATCTGTAAACAGTCAGGGAGAGGAAGATCAGGATCTACAGGATTTTATTTTGACGGAGCAAAATGTCTCTTCTGCTCCACAAGAGGTCAGGGCAGCAATATCTGTATTCTCTTATAAACAATGTAAGTGCATTGTGTTGTTCAATCATGCACTTTGTTAAATTCTTAAACTACCAACAAGTGCTTAGATCGTGCTCCCTTAAAACAAATATTGGAAGAACAATGAAAATATATTATTTTAAAGAACATGAACTGCATGCTTTTCTTTAAAAAGCCACAAACCAGATTTTAAACGTTTATTTGGATGTATATTTTAATAATCACTTATTAAAAGTAGACCTGTAGCTATTGTCTAGCAAATACAATGAAATTATGATTAATTTTCCTCACTAATAAATCGTGTTTTGTAAAGCTTTATAATAACTTATTTTATTAGACAGTTTTAGCGCTGCACTTTGAAGCTGAAGAAGTCGTTGAACCAGATTTCCGAGCGTCTGTTCATGCAGAGATCTTTTGTTGAGTGATTCCTGCAGAGTGAGGCTGTCGCTCTGCATGTGGACTTCATTTCTCCTGACTGTGAAGCATGAGTTGTTTTAAGAAGTTTACAGATCATCTGCAGGTTTTAAAAAGTCTGGTTTTAAAACAGAATGAAGACAGGAACTCAGGCAGTGAGGATCAGCAGAGGGTGAGTTTATTCAATTAAATATTCCTCTTTTATAAAATGACTTGTATTAAAGGTGGGGTAGGTAAGTTTGAGAAACCGGCTCGAGATACACTTTTTGTTATATTCCATGGAATGCTCTTAACATCCCGATAGCAATATATCTTAAGTGCTTTGACAAAAAATCCATTAAAAAATGTCATCTGTGGAAGCCGTAGTACTGTAAAAAGCACGACCAATCATCTGAGCCGGCCCGGCTAAAATAACTGGATGGCCTACCTGCCTGTCAGCCTTCCATCTGTGCACAAACTTATCTCGTGCCCTCATTGGTCATGTGCCGGGCCGGTTTCTCAAACTTACCTACCCCACCTTTAA